AACTCTATCAGGGATGTTCAATAAAGTATGGAATGAAGAAAAAGTCACAGACTCTTGGAAACGGGGAATCATAATCAAATTACCCAAAAAGAGCAACCTTAATGTTTGTGAGAACTGGAGAGGCATTAACCTTTTATCAGTACCAGGAAAAATCTTCTGCAGAGTCTTACTACAAAGAAGGAGGAAAGGAATTGATAGAATACTTCGTGAAGAACAAGCTGGCTTCAGAGCCAACAGGTCATGTAACGACCAAATATTTGTCTTGCGCACTATAGTGGAACAGTCCCTGGAGTGGAATTCGTCTCTCTACATCAACTACATAGATTTCCAGAAAGCATTCGATAGCATTCACTACCCATCACTATGGAAAATACTAGAGCTATATGGCTTTCCAGGAAAATTCATAAACATACTTAAGGACATGTACTATGACACAATGTTGTGTGCGACATGAAAATCAGCAAAGTGAATGGTTCAAGGTAAAACAGGAGTCAGACAGGGCTGCGTCATCTCACCTGTCATCTTTTTGGTGGTAATAGACTGGCTTATGAGAAGAGCAACTGAGGATAAGGCAAGAGGAATTGTTTGAGAACTTACCAACCACCTGGAGGACTGTGACTTTGCTGATGACTTGGCTTTACTCCCACATGCCCAAAAAGACATCCAAGCAAAAACCATAAAAAATAGAGTAAATTGCTAAAAGCGTTGGGCTAAAGATAAACTCCGGAAAAACCAAGCTAATGCAAATAAAAACCAAAAGTGCTCTCAAGACTTTTGCGAATGGAGCAGAGCTAGAAGAGGTCGAGACTTTAAGTGCCTCGGCAGCTATATATCAGCGAATGGCAGCGTGGAGAAAGAAATAGCCACCAGAATAGCAATGGCAGCACAAGCTTTCAATAGACTTGCTAAGATCTGGAAATCATCCTCACTGCAGCAGAGAACTAAAATAAGAATCTACAAGTCTAATGTACGTTTTGTATTCCTCTATGCTGCAGAGTCATGGAAACTTAACAAGAAAGTAGAGAGCCGACTCAGAGGCTTTGAAAGAAGATCCCTCCAACGCATCCTCAGAATAAAGTGAGAACAAGGAAATACGAAGAAGGACAGGTTTAAACGACATTATTTCAAAGTTCGAATGAGGAGATGGAGATGGCTGGGCCATGGTCTACGCATGAACAAAAGAAGACTCCCAAACATGGCGCTGAAGTGGACTCCGCATGGAAAGCGAAAGAGAGGAAGACCAGTGGGAACATGGAGGAGAGAGATGGAAGAAGAAGTGCAGACTAGTGGCAAGAGCTGGCATGAACTAAAGTGGCTCGCCCAAGACAGAGTGGAATGGCGGAGATTAAAGTTGCTGCCCTAGACTCCATAGGGAGTGATCAGGATTAAGTAAGTAAGTAACTTTCACTGCCGACCAGTAATTGATGGAGACAATTGCGTCTATGGATGCCATTGTGGGCATATTTTTCTGCGGATTTTAGAACTCATTTATAAGCTACACCTTGTTTTGTTCCTAGCTTTTAGAAACCGCCTTTATTTTTCATAACAACTGCAGGATAATTCATGGATCAAGGTGACTTCTGTCAACATCAAGCACACGAAAACTTACATTATCTCTGACTCCAGAATAGGGGAATTTATCATTTGAATTTTGATATAAAGTGTGTTAATAATTATACTTAGGCTTTTAGCTCTCTGTGAGGTGTTTTACATCACACATTTATTCTCAGATTCTTTTTTTTTAAATCTTTGATTGCTTTCGTTGATTTTTCTGTTGTATGTATATATTTCATTTTAAAATTTCAGTTCAGCTTAACAACTCTAAACTATTAAAAAAACGAGTAAATATATTCAAATTTAGAAGTGGTAAATATTTTTTCCAAAATTGATATATGTGTTAATTGAGACGTTTTTATCAAAACGTAAGGATGCCGCTCCGTTTTTTTATATATCTTTATTGCATTAAACATATGTGTATGCTAAGAATACATAATATATGAAATTGCACGCACTACACAGTTCATATAATTCACAACTGATAGACAATTATTAATTGGTTTAAACAAAGGTTCAAAGTGTTTTGAAGAATCAAAATGAAAAATTATTTACAGCTCTGTTATTTGTTTTAGTGAAATTCCATGGTGTACAATGTATTGGAAATGAAGAATGTTCAGCACCATTGGAGTGCAGAAATGACACAAATAATATCAAACGTTGCTTATGTGCTGAAAGCAATTATTTCACGTCACCAAATAGTTGCTATTCAGGTAAGACGTTTTTTCAAATACGTATCTTTAGTAAAAAATAAACAGCAAATAATTCCAATGGAATTGATATACGGATATTTTAATGTTCTAACGTGAAGAGGATGATTATGTGCATGTAATAAAAATGGACAATTTTTACCATCACCGAACTGTAAAGATGCAATTTACGAGTTGTTCTTTATTTTTAATGCATGAAGCATTCTATTTAGCGACTGTATTGGTACATGTTATATATCTTATCTACCCAGTATACTATAGAGGCGCAAAATTTTTATTTTAATTGGACTCTGAGAGTATCAATTATGGGTCGTTAAAAAATACCAGTAGCATCGTAGGTGTGAAGCAACCGTGACTAATACATATAAAAATAAAACAATGTTGTTTAAGCTATTGTTAATAAAAAAAACATTAGGCTTTTCACTTTAAAATGGGTACATGAAACTGGTAAATACAATACTTTGTTAGTCACAAGTCTAAATTGTTGCAGCGATTACAAATTGCATCGAAATGGTAAAATAATATTCTATTCACACCAGTTACGCAGCTACAAGTTAAAAACCCATCTGTACAAAGTAGAACAACCAGCTCTGTTTACATAACCTGGTCAGTGAACTCTGGTAGCTCAACAAATGTCAATTATAAAATACAAGCTGGCTCTTTAGCCCCAGTAACAGCAACTTCTACTGGAGGGAATGCAACTGGTCTAAGTCCTGGACAACAATACAATTTGTGGATCATTTCTACACTTCCTGCAGACAGCTACTATCGTGAGCGAAATACAAATGTTACTTTAACGTATTGGACTGGTAAGTTGTTTTTACAAGCTTTTATTTAACTCACTTCCTCTGTCGTCAGTCTGTCGACAGTCTGTCTAGACGGAAACGCAGGAGTGAAAATTCGGACAGTTCTACTTGACCGACACGATTCACAGTTGGCACGTGGGTCAAGACATAAAGACAATGCAATCTGAAACTAAATTTGACTTAATTGGATGCCTAATTGATTTTTTATGAATTAATTAAAATTTGGACCGAATTAGTAGGCATGTCTAGCCAACCACACCACACGCGTCATCAATAGCTGCGCCATCACGACCACGTAATGGCTGCGTTCAAAAACCATTGCGCGCCTACTGAACGTGATGTTCAGTAGGCGCGCAATGGTTTTTAGTCATGTAACTCTATTGTAGATAAAACATGTAAAGTACTGAAAAAAAATTCATAAAAAACGTTTTAAAAACAAGCTTTTATGTAATGATGCACTAAAAAGTAGAAAATAAATTATAGACTACTATTTAAATAACTATAAAGAAAAGCGTGGGTGTCTTCCTTAACATTAGTAAAGGTATCCAATAGATACTAAAGTGACCCACGCTTTTCTTTATAGTTATTTAAATAGTAGTCTATAATTTATTTTCTACTTTTTTACAAGCTTTTATTTAACTCACTTCCTCTGTCGTCGGTCTGTCGTCAGTCTAGACGGAAACGCAGGAGTGAAAATTCGGAAACTTCTACTTGACCGACACGATTCACAGTTGGCACGTGGGTCAAGACATGAAGACAATGCAATCTGAAACTAAATTTGACTTAATTGGATGCCTAATTAATTTTTTATGGATTAATTAAAATTTGGACCGAATTAGTAGGCATGTCTAGCCAACCACACCACACGCGTCATCACCTTCATTCAATAGCTGTGCCATCACGTAATGGCTGCGTTCAAAAACCATTGCGCGCCTACTGAACGTGATGATCAGTAGGCGCGCAAAGGTTTTTAGTCATTTAACTCTATTGTAAAATAAAACATGTAAAGTACTGAAAAAAAATTCATAAAAAACGTTTTAATAACAAGCTTTTATGTAATGACGCACTAAAAAGTAGAAAATAAATTATAGACTACTATTTAAATAACTATAAAGAAAAGCGTGGGTGTCTTCCTTAACATTAGTAAAGGTATCCAATAGATACTAAAGTGACCCACGCTTTTCTTTATAGTTATTTAAATAGTAGTCTATAATTTATTTTCTACTTTTTATTTAACTCACTTCCTCTGTCGTAAGTCGTCAGTCGACAGTCTGTCGTCAGTCTAGACGGAAACGCAGGAGTGAAAATTCGGACAGTTCTACTTGACCGACACGATTCACAGTTGGCACGTGGGTCAAGACATGAAGACAATGCAATCTGAAACTAAATTTGACTTAATTGGATGCCTAATTGATTTTTTATGAATTTATTAAAATTTGGACCGAATTAGTAGGCATGTCTAGCCAACCACACCACACGCGTCATCAATAGCTGCGCCATCACGACCACGTAATGGCTGCGTTCAAAAACCATTGCGCGCCTACTGAACGTGATATTCAGTAGGCGCGCAATGGTTTTTAGTCATGTAACTCTATTGTAGATAAAACATGTAAAGTACTGAAAAAAAAATTCATAAAAAACGTTTTAATAACAAGCTTTTATGTAATGATGCACTAAAAAGTAGAAAATAAATTATAGACTACTATTTAAATAACTATAAAGAAAAGCGTGGGTGTCTTCCTTAACATTAGTAAAGGTATCCAATAGATACTAAAGTGACCCACGCTTTTCTTTATAGTTATTTAAATAGTAGTCTATAATTTATTTTCTACTTTTTAGTGCATCATTACATAAAAGCTTGTTATTAAAACGTTTTTTATGAATTTTTTACAAGCTTTTATTTAACTCACTTCCTCGTCATTCTGTCTGTCGTCAGTCTAGATAGAAACGCAGGAGTGAAAATTCGGACAGTTCTACTTGACCGATACGATTCACAGTTGGCACGTGGGTCAAGACATGAAGACAATGCAATCTGAAACTAAATTTGACTTAATTGGATGCCTAATTGATTTTTTATGAATTAATTAAAATTTGGACCGAATTAGTAGGCATGTCTAGCCAACCACACCACACGCGTCATCAATAGCTGCGCCATCACGACCACGTAATGGCTGCGTTCAAAAACCATTGCGCGCCTACTGAACGTGATATTCAGTAGGCGCGCAATGGTTTTTAGTCATGTAACTCTATTGTAGATAAAACATGTAAAGTACTGAAAAAAAAATTCATAAAAAACGTTTTAATAACAAGCTTTTATGTAATGATGCACTAAAAAGTAGAAAATAAATTATAGACTACTATTTAAATAACTATAAAGAAAAGCG